ACTTTTTTTAAGAAAACAATTTTTCTTGATAGGCTGCTGTTAGTTTACAGTGTGTTTGTTAACATCATTAAAAACGTTATCTTGATTGGTATTATCTGCCAACATGTACATCGTGTCCTTACACTTTTGCCTAGAAATCTAGAAAAAAAAAAAACACAAGCATATGCACATATATACGCGTGTTTCTAAATAATTAATATAATAAACACTTGAGGAAAAGTGCTTCACAACAAAATAAACAAGACATCTGTACCTAAAACATTTCACAAAAAAAAAAAAAAAAAAAAAAAAAAAAACAAAAAAAAAAACACAACTACAAAAGTGAACCCTTGTCGAATAGATTGCATAAAAAGCAAGCAAGCAATCTTCCAAACAATTTCTTTTCACATATATGTAGCAAAAGTGCTATAAAAGTGTTCAGCAAAAGTCAGAGTGTGCATGTGTTTGGGGGTGTGATCCCGCCTTATATCCGAAAAGTAACAAAAGAAAACAAAAGGAAATAAAAACAAAAGCAAAACAAAAATTTACCCCAAAAATTGAAATTCTTTTCATCAACTCGTTAAACAACTGCACAGTAAGTGAAAAAACAAAAAGAAAAGAATTTTCTTTCACGTCAGTTAGGTTCTTAAAGAATAATGTCTACATTGAAAAACATAAGCTGCCCGCTCTTCTTATATTTGCCTACATATATGTAGAAGCCCTTATTTTTTTTTCTTCTTCTTCTTCTTCATTTTCTTTTACTTGACCAACCAATACTTAAGCTTAACATTATGTATGTCTTTATAAGCAAAATAGTTCACTTTTGGAGCACTTGCTTGGTGTAGATTTTTCAAAAAGACAAACGAAAAAAAGAAAAAAAAAAGTTTATAAAACGTTTTATATAAAAGCAAGAGAAGCATATAGAACTAGAAACGTATAGCGATATGTTTGTTTGTAGGTTGAACCAGATAGGATGCTTGTAAGTAAAGTTTTAAATTTCTTAAACCCATTAAAAGAATATACACATATATATATATATGCATATATATACATTTTTTCTTTTTTGGTTTTTGTAAAAAATTCTTATATAGTTTAATATCATCATTATTTCGACAGCTAATAAATTATATCGTTACTGTTGCTGCTTTCTTGCTTGCTTGTGATTGTTATTGTTGTTTTTGTTGTATTGCACGCATATAATCACTATAAATATTTTATATAAAAATATCAAGAAATTCGCCCGGAACCTTAATCAGTTTGTCGCATAGCTCAGACAACACTTTAGTTAGTTGTCTAGTCTCACTCAGTTTTACTTCTAGTCTTGCTTTTGTCATTTTTTTTTTTTCTTATAAAATATTAACGCACAAGTGTAGCCGTAAATATATGTTCACAAGTTTTATTGATGCTGCTGTTGTTGTACTAAGAAAGACCTACGCAATGTTTCAGTTTATCTTCAATGTTGTTTATTTGCATTTTTTTCTTTCTTTTTCTTTTCGTCTTTCTTTTTGTTGCCACTTAATTGCCCTTTTTTTTATATCCATCACCAAAGGACGGGGAGCATATTCATTGGGTCAAAATGTTTGCAACGCCCAGAAGGAAGCATTAGATAGCCCACAACGTACATATATATTCTTGATCAGCATCAAATTCTGTCCGTCTGACCATCTGTCCAATATCTGTTGTAGACATTCTCCTGGCCGCACAAATAACGCTGTCGACTTCAAATTTGACAGAAACCCTGGAATCTTTCGCACGCAGGTTTGTATTGAAAATGGGCCGAAGGGCATGCCCACAGTACTAAGCAAACCGAGAACGCTTCTGTTTTTTAAAAAATTAAAAAATTGCTTTTCTGCTCATTACTCATAAACTGTAGCAGATAAATGCACAAAAATTCGAGTGCATATTCTATAGGCGACGCTGCAGCACCTATATAAAAATTGCAAAAATTGACCACGCCTATCCAACGTTGTAATTTATCAAAATTTAATTTCCTTTCAATACCTTCATAAGGCGCGTAAACAAGCTTTAAAAATCCTATAAAATATATAAATTCTTGGCCAGTTTCAAATTTAGAAGGCATTCAAATATATCCGTCTGTCTGCCTGCGTAACGGTGTAGTATTTGTAGTAAACATTGTCCCATTAGCGAAAATGAAGATATCGCCTAGAAATTTGGAAGAGATTTAAATTTTCCCAAAGACACGCCTACAACGCCCGCCCGTTTATGCCACAAAAATTTTCGTTTTGGAAATAGAAAAATTCATCCACGCCCACTCCTTATTATAGAGCAATAAAATGTAGTTCTTTTATTTTTTCTGTCTCCTTTAGGATGACGGTGATTGGTATAAAAGATTCGATTACGACCGAACATAACTTTTTTACTTGTTTTCTCTTCTATTTGCTAAAATATCCTCTACTACGAAATGCATTAACTAACTATATAGTTTTAGCCCATAACCAGAACACAATCAAAAAACGCAGTACACAGATATTCTAACCAAACATATCGCGTTAGTCTCACTCACAGTAGTCTTCGTCATCATTTTTCTTGAAGCAACGAAAGAAAAGGAAATTTTTTTTTTTTTTTGCGTGTTGTTGCCCCATAGCACTATGATGACAGACCATAAAAAATGATGAATGTAAGGGCAATTATTAGTACCAGGAAAAAACTTCCAACTAAATACCCTTTCAAAGAAAATAGATTTTTAATTATATAAGAATTTATAGAAGAAAGAGATGAACAAAAATAAAGTTTTAAAAAGAAATTAGGGAACGTTTTTGATATGATCTGGTGGGCATTTGAGCAAAGCAAGTGAGAAAATTTTATATATATATATATATTTTTTTTTTGAAAATAAATCGTTTATACTAACGGATAACATTTTCAAAGTGTTTAGTGGTGAATCAAATTAATTTTATTACCGAACTTTTGTTGATGCAGAGTTTAAGATTAAAATCTTCTATAGATTGTATTCTTCTTTTTTGCTTGTTATCGTGGGATCACGACTTACTTACCTTTATAGTTGTTTATTATTGGTATTATTCTTATTATATTCTTTATTACCGTTACTTGTAAATATATTATGAAGCATTATACGATTCAAAATGTATATGTAATGTTCACGTTTTAGTGCTTAATTCTTTAGGCAGAGTCATCCATGAAATGTCTTACAATTTCACAAGTCCTGTAGTAGTATTTGTTTGTAAATTTTGGGCTTTTCTCTTATGTCTTCTTGTCCTTCGTTTTTAAGATTTTGCCATGATGTCTGTAAACAATGTTATTATTGGTGTTATTTTCACTCTTTCAACATTCCCTTGTCGCTTTATTGGTTAAATCTCTGGTAGGTATTTATTAAGTTTCTGCGAGTACTTTTCTAGAAGAGCAAAGTATATTGTTTTTCTTACAAGATCATGTCCGTTTTTGTATGCACGATGAAGTAAAACTAGCTGCTCTGTTGCCATTTAATAAAAACGGTTGGGGAATATTTCAAAATTCAAAATATTGCAAGCATTGTATGCTTTACAACCGTAGAATTTAACCCACAGAATATAATCCAGAACTTGCTGCTTTAAGGCTAATTCTAACACGAGGTGTCTTTGAGTCACATTTAGAGTAAGCATCTTGGCATAGGAAACTCCACCTAACACAACATATAATGTATGTATTCAAGCATTGCCGATTCCAGGTGAAACAATTTATTTGATTTATTAACTTATTCGGGGTAAGGGAAATTTAATGCTTTTTTTTCTATCTATTCGATCTACTCGATTAAGCTAATGTTGGGAGACGAAGTATTCATATTCGTAGGTAGATAACTAGATGAATTCTGGGCGGAATTTAATAGTAATTCAATCGATTGTTTAATTTATTCGGATGAGAGGGAATAAAAAAGAGAAATTTCGTGCTTTGGTGCTCCTTTTTTCTACGGCTACTGGTCTAAGATAATGTAATTGCCAAAAAGAAACGGGCGGCTTGCAGGAGGGATATAGTTAGACCAGTGCTAGGGAGAATTGAATATGTTTATAGTTCCAAGATCCGTTCACCATACAAATTCCTTCCTATCGGCTGTCGTCATTAATAATTTTAAGAAATACAATTTCGAAGCATTATCGACATTTGCGTGCAAAAGGTTTAAATAACTGCAACAAAACTTGACGCAGATGTTAGTCAGGGCACTGCCAACCCAAATATAATATAAGAGCCCAATTATTATTATCTTCCATAATTTCTTGCTGTTTAATTTGAATACCTTAGTCGTCGGGTCGCACTACTACTCCCGGAGAGGAATACAATTAGTAAACGGGGCACAGGTACCTAAAACTGCTTTCCTATTTAGTCTAAGCGATCATCGATGCACTGCCTTTTGATATCAACAACATATTCTTAGGGATATGTAACCAGAGCAGATGGGATATTAGAGAAATTCGCCTTGCAAAGACTACAAATAGCAAACTTTAGTAAGAAACATACTAACAACTTAAGCCAAGCATTATCTCCTTTCTCACCTTATGTGGAGAACAGGTTTCCCAAACTCAAAGCACATGAGTAAGCAAATAGGTAAAGTAAAGATATTTTTTTCTCGACATAACCACTAATTTTGTTGCTAGATTCCTAACATAAAAGTTTACGTTTGCAACTTAAAAAGTTTAGAATAGGTTCAAACATATTAAGTTTTTTTCCTTATCACACCTAACCTTAACTGAAAAACTTCAGGTTACGGATGTAATGCAAAAGAAAATCCCGCGTAAACTATGGGTATATTCAATATTTATAAAACATAATCTAACCCTCGATTAAAGCGTTATTTATCTTGTGAAACTTGAAATACGTTCATGGCTGCAGATTAAAAATCCCAAGTAGTATCAGGCATATTGGAAAGACTAAAGTTGACTCCGCCAACATATTAACAATTAATTGACTTAATGTGCATTGAAAGTGAAAAATCGCATAAAGTGAGACTTTACTGTATGTACGTATATAATATACACAGCCAGTCTATATTAGGTAACTAGATGCATATTTTATATGTATGCAATCAATGTTCAACATTATTATAGTTTCATGATAATTGGTTACATATTGAATAAATTAATAGTTAACCCATAATATAATTATATACAACAATTTTTGCTATAAAGTAGGGCAACAACAAATTATCATAAACAAAAAGGCTCAATGATTATAGCGTGTAAATGATAATACCAAAAACGTATTCGCGAGACTGAATTGAGACAAGTAAGTTCAATCGATACTCAAATACTGATCGGAAAGTAGAACGAATAATCTCGAATATATTATGAAATCTTAATTGAAGTAAACCACTCCGTGTAATAAACAATCACAAATAGTTCATAGTGATAGGTATTCATTGATTTATATGAAAAAATGTACAAAGAAGTTTTTTGACAAAATAAGATCATTATTAAAATCTATCGGATCAAATTAGATGCAATGCATTTATTAAGCCAAAGAGAAAAAAAAAAAAGTTTGTTAACTAACTGATGCAGGGCATCAAATGTAGCTCTCTTACCTTCCCCGTGAGATACGCAAAATTCTAAGACCCACCACCCGGTTGCCCCCCACGTAACAAGTAAAATTACCTGTAGGTAGAAAAATACGTCAAAATTGTCCGGCCAATATAATAACATCAACATGAAATAATATCAAAATGCACAAAGAAAACTAGTAAAAAGTGGTGAAAATTCAATATCAAGCCACGGTAAAAGAAAGTTCAAAAGTAGTGTGCAAATGTATTCCTGTATAAAAAGTATTTATAAAAATAATTTATTATGTGCGGGTAATCCATTAAATTTTGTGTAATATTGAAATAAAGTGCGTTCCAGCTGAGAAGACAACAATAAAAGCGCTTATAACTCGAGGTAAGTGAGAGATGGCGTTTTTCCTTTATAATGAATATTTTTCAGAGATATAAAACTATAAACATTAAAAATAAAAAATATATTTAAATTCGTATAAAATGCGAAATTATAGTTTCTGCAGGGTGTCTTGAGAAATTGATAACAGCTCCAAAGAGTCTGCTTTTTCCTTCCTTCCTCCGTGAGCCAGAAAATGAACAACAGCACTGTAAGCTGGGGCTATACTCATTTTGTTTTTTTTTCCATAAATTACGTAACACCCAAAACGAAGTTTCAGAGATCCTAGGAGATATATGTATTCTTGATCAGCATGATATACTGAATTCGTTGGGCCATGTCTGTCCGCGGTTGTTTCGAATTATTTTGTATATTCCGCAAATGAAGATAGATTATCTGCCTAAAAATGGGTTAATTCTAACACAAATATGGTAGACACCGCGATCAATTTTTTCTTAATGATACCAGCGATATGAGCATCAAATAAAAAAACTTGGAGAGTAGAATGCGAAAAGCATAGTGGTGGGTATGCGAGATGTCGCTCCTGCCGAATATAATTTTCTTTCTTGCTTTCTTGTAAAGCAGAATTCATAACAGTATAGAAGATTAACAATTTCGAAAAATGCTGAATACGATTAGAGGAAAAGCAGGCTGGGAATAGAAATAAAACCATAAATTTCGGTATAGTAACATGCTTGTAAAAATGTATATAAATAGAATATTTGTGGAAGGGAGAGTTAGTCTGGCAAGAACATTTGAGCTGAGAGTACCGGCAAAATAAATTGTAAATAAATGATCCTACTGTTAAGGAATATAATTGCAAATCAAAGAACTTTAAAGTGTATTTCTCTTGATCAAAATATTTACGATCCAGTGATACGGACTGTACCTTAGTAAAAGCGAATTTCATAAAATTATTTTAAAAATTGTTTTAGAAAGCTCAATATATATTGGAGATGGATTATAATTCTGTTGTAACCAGGAAGATCGAATTTTCGAAGAGACTCAGAAGGAGGAAAGGCAGGGAGAAAAATTTTTCTCAACATAACATTGATATAACTCGTTGAAGGAATTATTAAATTTTGACAACTTCAAGTAATTTGCAAAGATACGAACTTCGCGCGGAACTTCACATGGAAATTGAAATATTAAAAACAGCGATATAAGTTCTGCGTACATTTGATGGAATTGCCCAAATTTCATTTTTATATGAATTTTTATAGGAATCCTTAAAGTGCTGATTAGTAAGAGCAAAAATTATTGTGTTCGTCTTCCTCAGTTATCTTAGTACATTACTTGCCATTGTTTGTAGAGGTTTTTCTTGCTTTTTTTTTTTTATCTAAAAGTCTTTTATGTGTTTGCAAGTTCCTGACACAGAGTTTATTATCTTTTGTTTGCTGTACTATAAAGCGAAGAGTGGAAAAGTAGTTGAATTTCGAGACTTGCAGACACAGAATACTTGATAATCATAGACTTTATAGCTTGATTGAGGGGTGGTGGAGAAGCGTTTATATATTAAATGCATTCATCAAGTGAAGCATAAGCTGGAAAATATGGCGAAAAGTACAAAAGGAAATTATATATATATTTTACGATATTTTTATGCTTTTTCCACATCTTATTATTGTGAAAGGTTTACTCGTTTTTATTATTACTCTTGCGTCATACTTACCCATATTGCTGGGATAACACACAAAGGACAACAAACAACACGTGTTTTTCTCTCCTGCGGGGTTTATTACATTGTTTTATATGGTATTCGACAACTCTAGCCATGGAATATATATATATATATATATATATATATATAAACATGTATAAATATTTCCCATGATAATAAGAATCAACCTTTAATTTTATCTCTTCGCTTTCAAAAAGGAAGAAATTTCTGCTATTTAATTTGAATGAAAACAGAAAAACCAATGAAATATCTATTACTTGCTTTAGTCATTTCTCGCATCTGGGTATTTTCGATAAACATTGTCGGACTCACCTTCATTACGCAAAGAGTAATAAATTAGTTCTTTCTGTTTGCAAATCCTTGGAAATATCCCTTGGTTACCAGTATGATCTATATTCCTGATTAATGACGTCCGCCCATACGACCATCTGTGCTTGGTTTGTTAGAATGCAATAATTAAACTAAAAAGCTGCAATTTCACAATTATTAGCCATCGAACAAGTTTGAAAAAGGGGCGTGATTTTCCCATAGAAGATATTCATGTGTAACATAAGTCTTATGACGTATGATGTCGATTTGAAAGCTGAGTCAAAAGGTCAGTGAGACAAATACGACCCTACCACTATAACGTGCATTGATTGACAACATTTTAACATTTAACAATGATATCGATCATGATTCAATCATGGCATTGATTGATTCGGAGTGATGGGTGTCAAAGATTCGTCAAAATGCGAATAAAATAATTTTTCTCAATAATAAAGTCATTCGCATTTGAAGATTTTGCAATATTAAGCTAAAAACTGTATATAAGTAGAGTATGGCTTGCGCGTGTAAATAAAATATTTAGTGATTTATGTAAAACTTTAGTTTATTATTAAACTCTGTTAAGTGGTTGATCGCATGTTAAGTTTGCTATGCATCTGTTATGGTATGCTTTAAAATTGCAATTGCGCGCACTTCTACTATTACCTCACCTTTATAATTTGTTTTAATTTCGTTTTAATGACTTGTTTAGCTAAATTTATTATTTTTGTTGCGTGTTTTGTTAGTAATGCAATGAACACACTACTAAAAATAGTCTTTAACCATAGAATTTCTTCTCCTCTGTTTGGATTAATTGTGTAATGCTTTTAACTAATCACACTTTTGATTGACTAAAGTGTGACAATGAGAAAGAATAGAATACCAATTGAACTTAACAGTTACTTACATTGTAATATCTTGTTAGTAAGCTTTCAAGCTCACCGCTATTAGTAATCGTTTGCCAATTTCATGGCAGAGCGTTCCATAGGTTGCTAGCATAGATAAAAAAGTGTCTGTCCGGCAATATATATAGTGCATCGTTGCTTGCCTGCTTTCATATTGTTACATCGTTTTACAGGTCAAAAAGAAATCTTAGCTTGTCATTAACACTTTGTGCGGATCCTATGTTACATTTCCCATTCCAGCTATCCCACCCTTTTATTGTTAATGTTAGCGAAGTCATAGTATGTGGCGTTAGGGTTTGACCTGCTCAGAGCGAGTTGGTGCGTTATAGAGATAAGATCACGCTTGGAAAACATGAGAGTACATAAATGATCGGAAGATAGCACATTATCACGACTACATACCAAAAAAAAAATCCGGCCGTTTGAATAAAGTGTGTTGATGGGATATAAATTTAAGGCACACAGGTCATCTGGGAATGAATTGTCGAATAATAGATTGCAATTAAAGTCACCAGAGATAATTGTATCCGAGTAGTAGGTAGTGGCGGAACAAAGTCCACATTACGGTGCAGTCGACAAGCAGAACATTTTGGATTCGTTTCTATTGTTTTGAAATTGTTCTCAATATACTCATTATATTCAATTTGCTAGAGGGACGTAAATGCCAAGATTCAAAAGTCTCCTATAATTCTTGCATTTTAAGAACTTCAATCACACGCAATTAGACTTTTGCGCTTAGCCTCTTATATATAGTCAAAAAAAAAAAAAAAACAAAGTAGTAGTTTTCCGTCTCCGGACGAAACTATAAACGTAAGAGACAAGTGTAAGAGCAAACAGGGGAACAAACAAAAAAAAAAGGACGAAGGCCGAATAGGAAGGAGTCGAAGCGGGAATGTGGATGGGTAGACAATCGGAGTGGCCCGCGGTCTGAGGATAGATTGGCGAACAAGCACAAAGTTAAACGAGCAAACGGATGGATGATCAGATAAGCGAACCGGTACATAAGCGGTCGAGCAGATCGGTGGTTTCTTATTGATTATAATCATAAGATAAGATAATGCCAAGACTGTAGAAATTCATGTTTGCGTAGATTTTCTAGACATACGTACAAGCGATTGCCTGCACAGCTTAGTCACAACGAATGAACTCGACTATTTCCCCACTGTCGGTTTCTCGCAGGAAAAAAAAAGAAGAAAACAAATTTCAAGATTAGTGCCGCAAGGAAACCTTTCATTATTTGTAAAGTATTTCTTTATTTATCTGAAATCTCCCGACATTATGAATAGATCTCTGCCGAGTTACTTGGTACATGTGCTTGCTAATTAAATTGAAGTTTATCTTCACATCCTTTATACGCCCTTCTGATGAAATAAAAGAATGTGTCTTTCGAAGCATTTTTGCCCACTACTTTTGATCTTCGGTTGATATTAACGTTTAACGAAACTTTTACAATTTAACAAATTCTTAGTCTACTTTCAAGTGCAGGAGAGGATTTTCATAACGTTATCACGAATCCGCGTAAACAATGGTAGTGCGGTAAAAGCGGACAGTACTTTCTATTAAAAATTTCTGCTTATCACTGCTCACCACCTAAGTGTGGTTGCGCAAGTTTTAAAATTCCATTTGCAACGCCTCGAAAGAGCCATCGGACAACTGTGAAGTAATCTCTTCCCATTCCAAACTTTCAGTTGCAAATTGCTACTGACTGAAATTATTATTATTAAGAATTTTTTTTCTTTTTCTGGTAAAGCGACACATAGAGAGAATAATGAATTTAATGTACTCTCATACTATTAATTTTTGGCATATAAAAGCAGCCGAGTATGAAGTAACGACAGTCTTTTTGATGTTGAGGTTTACTTTGACAAATATTTTTAAATTAAAGACAGATAAAGAGTAACGAAGGGTAGAGAGATAGAGAGAGAAGTCAAAATAAAAGCGCATTCAACAAAAAACAATACAATTTGTAAAAATGTTTAAAAAGAAAACAAAAAAATAAAAAAATAAATAAAATGGAACGACTTCATTCATGACGTAGAGAAAACAAACAAAAAAGTGGAAGTCAAATAAGAAAAGCATGAATGCTTAAAGACTGAATGCTTGGGACCCCGACG